AAAAAAAGTTGGATTAATTAGTTTTTTCGACCTACTATTATGAAAATTTTTCCGCCTTTTTTAGGAATATAAACGAATATGATATTTGCCATTGATCCTTTTAATATGTTTCAGCAATGTGCGTGTATTTTATATTTTCTTTACGTTATGCAAAAGAGTAAAAACAGTGGCAACTATGAAATAACTTTATGTCGTTATATAAACAAACCATACTCTACTAAGATACTGCGATGCACTGTAAAGCACTGCATGGTGTGATGTTTACTTTTATGGTTTTAAAATCTATAGAGATGACTGAAGTAAGGACTGACACACTATTTGGCCGCTTATATTATAGATTTCATCAACCTAGCTATAACGGTGCTCAAGTTATCGTGTTCAGACATACATAGACACATACACACATACAAGCATTCGGACAGAAATGCAAAGCCCAGTTTTTTCGACTCAATTACGCATAGAACACCAAAACTTTGATAAATCTGCATTATATTTTTGCCCGATTAAAATAAGTTACCTATACTCCGTATATGATGAAGTACTGAGGTGTAAAACAATGAAAACTGTTAAAATTGCATGTGATTTTTGTGCACGATTACAATACTTTCTCTATACTCTGTATACGAGAAAGTAAAAAGGAAGCAAAGCTAGGATTACATACACTATAAACGTTTCGTTTAAAGAATATACATTCAGTATTATTCGTCGCAAATTAACATTTGCTTAGGTGGTAGGACTGATCAGGTCGGTAAAGCTCACGGTTGTTGTTTGTAAATACTACTTATTTCGAACCACCGGGGAGTTCGACAGCCATCTTGGAGAGACAACTCGAAAAGTGCACACCTGCTGTCTTTTAGTTTATTCTTTGATGAGTAAAGGCTGCATAAGCAAATCCAAAAAGAAAAGCAGGTTGAACTAATGGTACATAGCAAGTTAAATACATAATTTTGTTGGAAGAAATCTCGTTCAATATAACAATTACGAACGAAGACAAAGGTATGAAACATTTTGCTTTGACAAATTGTCGCTTTATGTAAATCTTCATACGTCATATGTGCTAGAACAATAATTGCACAATTTTAACTGAGGTCGGTTGATGCACTAGCAGGGTGAGGTAGAAAAGTGGTGAGGTCACGGGATGAGGTAAAAAGATGAAGTAAAAAGATGAGGTAGAAAAATGAGGTAAAAAACGTGCTAGAAAGATGAAGTAGCAAGAAGAATTAGCAGGATGAACTAGCATGATGAGGTAGAAGTTGAGGAAAAAAAGGACAAGTATGATGTTGTCGAGGTAAACAACCTTGCGACCTTCACACACGTCATACACACATGACAATTAACCTTAGGGTAAACAGTGATGTTTATTAAAATTAATTAATAGGGACACCTGGCTTTTAATTAACATATAATGATTCACAAACACATGTTTAGCATGAGCCGTCAGATGCAGGGGAGATTACCAGCTCTAAAAAACATGTCAATTTACAATTTATATTTGCTTCTCTCCCCTTTCGTGATACGCAGTCTATGTAGGAGTGCAGTCGGGGTTAGAATATTTCTCACCATTGCAGTTGTAGTTTGTCGGCTCTACAAGATCGAGTTATTTATATACTGCTCGGAATTCATAAACTTTCGTTCACATATTTTTAGACAAGCTTGATACAGTGAATTATTTTCTAAACGTATGTTGTACGAACTCTACTTCACCTGCCCTATGGATCGTTTGGTCTGAAGGGAGAATTTATGCATGGTGAGCTCTACTTCATCTACCCACACGATGCTGGCGACTGATCGTTAGCTTCCTCGTTAGCTGAAGATAAGCAGACGACAACGTGTGGGACCTGACCCTAAAGGTTAGTTCTTGTGGCACACAGTACACCCCCACCCCACCCCCACCTTGTTGTGTCAACCTTTATGTTAAAAAAATCACAACCCGACGTCTATACATGTGTTGAAGCAATTCACAAACAACATACGTCACCGCGAGATAACCTTAATTAAACTTTTCAACCTACTGGCCTAAATTAGCCTGATAAGTCTACTATCCCAATCAATCGCTTTGTTGTGTTATATATAGCCGGGTAGAATTTCTTCAAAACAACGGAACCCCAAACTATATTAATAAACAAAGAACTACATTATTATGGACAACTTTTTTCATTGACAAATTAATGGCAAAGCTGATTAATTTTTTTACTCCAGCCTCGTCACTCATTAATTTTTTTACTCGATCCTCGTGACTCATTAATAAAAGCCGTACGCCTGAACCAAACATGTACTCTAATTGGTTGTCTGATAATGAGATCAGTGATTGGGAGCAGGGTAATGTGCGAGGGTACCGACAAATTAGGCAGTGATCAATTAAACCATTTGATACAGTGCAAACATTAATACAAGCGGCTAAGATTTACAATCCAAGACTGCAAACACTGATACTATCTGATTTATTATACATAAATCGTCAAGTATTCGTTTACAATGTTTATTTAATAAAAAATTTCAAGTTCGGTGTTGACAAACTCAACCATGACATTAGCATAAACAAGACATAAAAGCTAATAGATTTCGTATCAAAAGAAAAACATAATCCTAGCTCCTCACTTGAGAACAACCTTTACGATACCTATAAACTATAAACTAAACCTTAACTAACCTTAGTGTTTAACCCTATCAGTAAGCGTATGTATACATAAACTTATAGACCTAAAGCCAAATACTAAAGCTAACCTTGTTTAAACCTAATCCTGGATATATCTCAAAATCTAACATTATCGATTTGACTAAATCTTCAAATCAACTTACTCGTATCCCACGCGGTCAATTTTAAACTAACACCAACAGTCAGGCAAAAGTGATATCTTGTCATTATTTGACAACACTAACAGACAAATATACTGATATCTTGTCATTATTTGACAACACTAACAGTCAAATATACTGATATCTTGTCATTATTTGACAACACTAACAGACAAATATACTGATATCTTGTCATTATTTGACAACACTAACAGTCAAATATACTGATATCTTGTCATTATTTGACAACACTAACAGTCAAATATACTGATATCTTGTCATTATTTGACAACACTAACAGTCAAATATACTGATATCTTGTCATTATTTGACAACACTAACAGTCAAATATACTGATATCTTGTCATTATTTGACAACACTAACAGACAAATATACTGATATCTTGTCATTATTTGACAACACTAACAGTCAAATATACTGATATCTTGTCATTATTTGACAACACTAACAGTCAAATATACTGATATCTTGTCATTATTTGACAACACTAACAGTCAAATATACTGATATCTTGTCATTATTTGACAACACTAACAGTCAAATATACTGATATCTTGTCATTATTTGACAACACTAACAGACAAATATACTGATATCTTGTCATTATTTGACAACACTAACAGACAAATATACTGATATCTTGTCATTACTTGACAACACTAACAGTCAAATATACTGATATCTTGTGATTATTTGACAACACCAACAATCACATATACTGATATCTTGTCATTATTTGACAACACCAACAATCACATATACTGATATCTTGTCATTATTTGACAACACCAACAATCAAATATACTGATATCTTGTCATTACTTGACACATACTTAAATCCCAATCGTAAAAGTACGACCTCTGGCCACTGATAACATTTTTTTGATTCAATATCTGCCCTGAATTCTTTTTGTTGGCTCATAGCTAAGAACAAATCTCGAATCTCTTGAACTTTATTGAGGGTGACACACGTCTATGGTGGCATATGTCTATAGTGACACACGTCTATGGTGACACACGTCTATGGTGACACACGTCTATGGTGACACACGTCTATGGTGACACACGTCTATGGTGACACACGTCTATGGTGACACACGTCTATGGTGACACACGTCTATTGGGACACACGTCTATGGTGACATACGTCTATGGTGACACACGTCTATGGTGACACACGTCTATGGTGACACACGTCTATGGTGACACGTCTATGGTGACACACGTCTATGGTGACACGTCTATGGTGACACACGTCTATGGTGACACACGTCTATGGTGACACATGTCTATGGTGACACACGTCTATGGTGACACACGTCTATGGTGACACACGTCTATGGTGACACACGTCTATGGTGACACACGTCTATGGTGACACGTCTATGGTGACACATCTATGGTGACACGTCTATGGTGACACACGTCTATGGTGACACACGTCTATGGTGACACATGTCTATGGTGACACACGTCTATGGTGACACACGTCTATGGTGACACACGTCTATGGTGACACACGTCTATGGTGACACGTCTTTGGTGACACACGTCTATGGTGACACACGTCTATGGTGACACACGTCTATGGTGGCACACGTCGATGGTGACACACGTCTATGGTGACACACGTCTAAAGTGACATGTCTATAGTGACACACGTCTATGGTGACACGTCTATGGTGACACGTCTATGGTGACACATCTATGGTGACACGTCTATGGTGACACACGTCTATGGTGACACACGTCGATGGTGACACACGTCTATGGTGACACACGTCGATGGTGACACACGTCTATGGTGACACACGTCTATGGTGACACACGTTCATTCTTTAAAATGCGATTTGCGTTTGAACCAATTCTAAATCCATGCCAAAATATAAACTTTGCTTTAACCTTAGCCCTGACTCTAAAAGTATATTAATCTCTAAACCTAATTAATGTTTAGGACACTAATTAGACTGATTACGGGAAGTGTCTGGCGTCATACCAATAATTGCACCAAATATTTTCTCACCTATCTTGCTCAGTGACACACACACACACACACACACACACATACAGACACACACAAGATTGTGTAAAACCGGGTGGTTGTATAAGGACAGCCGGGTGGCTATGTCAACATGAAGATAATCTGCAAGTCATGCTGAGATAACTGCTGACACACTTCAAGATTTTGTCACAAAAAATGTTGCGACTTTCTGTCAAGAAATATTTGAACCAAGACCGTTATTCTTTCATTCTCAAACACCACATATTCAGAGGCAATGTTTTTATACAACACACTGATCAGGAGGTATTTTCTTTTTCTTTTAAACTTACGGATAAGGAGGATATTTGAATATTGTTTAAATCACAAAATTTTCAGGCGATTTTACACATTATTGTTCTCTAAAACCTAACCGATTTGTTGGTAATTTTAGAAATGTGTACCAACAGCCTTGAAGGTGTTTATTTTGTAAAAGAAAAACATTAAAATACACGCATTCTACTAAATGTTCGCAAACGAAGCTTTGTTGATGTATGTTATATGTAGACCTGTTATATTTATCAGTGGGTTTTAGTTAGTGTACCCAGATCAAAATATAGTTAACCCAAGTGAACCGATACTTTAACTACATAAACACTCGGCCCTCGGATACACATCTCCTATACACGAATTGTGTTTTCCCTAGCTGAGAGCTAAAAAGGATCCATAAAATGTGTTTTCCTTTCGTAAGAATGACACGCCACGCATCACATGACTGATAATCTATTTTAGGAGAGCAAATAGTTATTGAGAACCATCCAACGATACGGAGCAAATGTTGTGCGCCTTAAAAAACGTGGTTCATGAAAGAACATTTCAGCTCGTTAAACTAATTAAAACACGATTAGGGATTGAATTTTTAAGGTTGGCTATTTAGGAGAGTAGAACTATCCCGATGTCTTACTTAACCTAATGCTAAAAAAAGATATTTTTAAATATTTCCCCTAACTCATCCTACTGAAAAAAGTTGTAGAAAATTATTTTTAAATTATATTTCCCCCAACTCACCCAACTGAAATAAGTTGTAGAAAATTGTTTTCAATTGATTTGAACGATCCGAGAGTAGGAAGGCTATTAATAGAATTAATATGTCGGGACAAATTTTATTTTATTCTGAAAAATTAAATATTATTTTCCCACTCTGTAACCCATCTCAAAGACAGTGATTCAAGTAAGTTAAAACTTTATTAAATTATTTATTTTTAAGTTGTAAAAGAGGAATTTAAATTTCTTCATTTAAAACTATTACTATGGAGATACATTTTAGCTCTCCTGATCCAACACTTACAATCATGCATGCTGATTTGGCATCTCGCTCAACATAATGTTGATTCACATGTAATTAAAGCATTCTCTCCCTCTATGCTAAGACCAGCACACCACCACACTACCACGCTACTACACCACCACACCACCAAACCACCACACCAGCACACCACACCAGCACACCACACCACCACACCACCATACCACCACACCACCACACCACTACATCACCACACCACCACACCATCACACCACCATAGCACCATACCACCACACCACCACACCACTACATCACCACACCACCACACCACCATACCACCATACCACCACACCACCACACCACCACACAAGCATACCATCACTTTACCACACCAGCATACCACCACACCACCACACCACACACCACCATACCACCACACCACCATACCACCACACCACCACACCACTACATCACCACACCACCACACCACCACACCACCATACCACCATACCACCACACCACCACACCACTACATCACCACACCACCACACCACCATACCACCATACCACCACACCACCACACCACCACACAAGCATACCATCACTTTACCACACCAGCATACCACCACACCACCACACCACACACCACCATACCACCATACCACCCTCCACCACACCACCACACAAGCATACCATCAGTTTACCACACCACCATACCACCACACCACCATACCACCACACCACCACACCACCACACTACCACACCACCACACCACCACACTACCACACCAGCACACCAGGAAACCAGGACATCAGGACACCACCATACCACCACACCACCACACTACCACACAAGCATACCATCACTTTACCACACCAGCATACCACCACACCACCACACCAGCACACCACTACACCAACGAGGTTGTCTGCTGTTTTTTGTATCTGTTTCCTGAATGGCTTTACTAACTGGCTGATGATTGATTATTTCTGATATCGTCAGTATTTCCCTCGGAATGTACTCCCCAAAGTCTGAATGTACTCCCCAATGTCTGAATGTACTCCCCAATGTCTTAATGTACTCCTCATATATATGTATATATGAATATGTATATATATATATATATATATATATATATATATATATATATATATATATATATGTATATATGCTAGGAAACATTAATTTTAAATGAGGAAGGATTCGTATTTAAGCCTGGGAATTCTAAATCAGTAGACTATACTTGCCTATATTGATCTTTAGGCTTCAAACTACCTCTACTCAGTTCTTAATACTTTTAACTTTTTGTTTTCGAACTACTTTTCTATATTTTTCTTACCATGAACTTAAAATAAAACGGTTTTTAATTTTTAGTTTACATTTTTTTCAGCCAGCTTTTGCGGACGAACTAATTGAACACTCCTTATTAATACTCTCGTAGATCTACTCACCTTGACCTCAGCGGCAAAGGTCAACATTTGCTAAAAGGTTATTGAAAGAATAAGCCCAGTGAATTCGTTTACGTTTTAGCTCATCTTTTAAGGTATTGTCAAGGAATCTATCGTGTGAGTATTTACGTTCATATATTGTGTGACAACGATACCTAAATAGCATTGAGCAGCTCATTATATGCCTTCAAGCAAAGATCCCCCGCATCAAGCAGACATTGTTTATTTAACTAACTGAAGACTTTCAGTTTTAAAACTTTTCACAATTCTACCTCGTTGTGTATGTTATATTTTCTACTGTGATTACTTTTCTAATCGCATCATCTACAAGAACTCAATATATTAACACAAAATGGCCGATTCAGAGCACCAGGCTTTAAACAAAACTGATCCATCGACTAAGGTTAACTACCAGACGTTAGCCCACTACTCAACTGACCAAAAGCAATCGGTTTTCAACCCTGCACTTCTGATCTCCACAAAACCCGACCAAACGTCCGGGCACACCTCCACACAGTCCAACCTCCACGGCACCAGACGCCCGTCCAGGGCGTCTTTCCTCGGAAGTTTCTCGGCCAGTTTGGACGCCCTCAAGGCTAGCGTGGTGCAGGTGAAGCAGAGTTCCATTGACCACTGGCCGCTACTTTTGCTGACGGTCGTAACGGCGCTGGTCACAAGTGCCCTCAAGGTGTTTAGCCTCGTCTTTGACCAGTACGTCTACAGCGTGTACGCTAAGGACGTGTTCGGGGGTAGGAACATTGATACACGCAGGTGAGTGGTGCCTAGGGGGCGGGGGGGGGGGGCTTAGGTACATACAGGTAAGTGGGCACAGGGGTTAGGGCCATAGATCAAATAACCAAATGACCTGATTCTTAATGAACCAAATGACCGAATGCTTAATGAACCAAATGATCTAATGCTTAATGAACCAAAAGACCTTATGCTTAATGAAACAAATGACCTAATGTTTAATGAACCAAATGATCTAATGCTAAATTAACCAAATGACCTAATGCTTAATGAAACAAATGACCTAATGCTTAATGAAACAAATTACCTAATACTTAATGAACCAAATGACCTAATGTTTAATGAACCAAATGATCTAATGCTAAATGAACCAAATGACCTAATACTTAATGAACCAAATGACCTAATGCTTAATGAACCAAATGACCTAATGCTTAATGAACCAAATGACCTAAAGCCTGGTTTTATTTACACCCCAGCCACCCATGTCTCAACACATCCGACACTTCTCCAAACGCCTCGGCTGATAAAGATCTGGTGGAACAAGTCCAGGATATGACGTCAAACTTGACGCTCTATCTTGACGTCATCTTATACGTGCTAGGGATGGTGTCAAACATGGCGCTGGGCGCATGCGCCAACTTGATCAGACGTAAAGTGCTGTTGTTAGCTCCCCTAACTGGGTTTTTCATCAAGTGCGCCACGTTAAGCTCCATCATCTACTGGGAGCTGAGCTTAGACTGGTTGTACATGGCGTACGCCGTGGACGGTATCTGCGGGAATGTGAGTACTTGTGCGCGTGTGTGCTGGTCCGTTGTCGGTGAGGGGAGGTACTTTCATAGGGTGGGGGTGGGAGTACTTGATAGGTCTACTGTAGGGGTGGGGGTACTTGTGTATGCCTATTGTGGGGGTTGGGGTACTTTTATAGGTCTACTGTGGGAGTGGGGTACTTTTATATGCATAGTGTGGGTGGGGGTACTTGTATAGGCCTACTTTAGGTGTAGGGGTACTTGTATATGACTACTGAGTGGGTGGGGTACTTGTATATGACTACTGAGTGGGTGGGGTACTTGTATATGACTACTGAGTGGGTGGGGTACTTGTATATGACTACTGAGTGGGTGGGGTACTTGTATATGACTACTGAGTGGGTGGGGTACTTGTATATGACTACTGAGTGGGTGGGGTACTTGTATATGACTACTGAGTGGGTGGGGTACTTGTATATGACTACTGAGTGGGTGGGGTACTTGTATATGACTACTGAGTGGGTGGGGTACTTGTATATGACTACTGAGTGGGTGGGGTACTTGTATATGACTACTGAGTGGGTGGGGTACTTGTATATGACTACTGAGTGGGTGGGGTACTTGTATATGACTACTGAGTGGGTGGGGTACTTGTATAGGCCTAGTGTGGTGGTACTTGTATAATATGGGGTGCGGTTTCCTGTAAATATATAGAAAATGTGTACATTTAAACCCTGAGGGTACCATTTTTACCTCACCCAACTTGTCAAAACATTTTTACCTCACCCAACTTGTAAAACATTTTTACTTCACCCAACTTGTCAAAACATTTTTACCTCACCCAACTTGTCAAAACATTTTTACCTCACCCAACTTGTCAAAACATTTTTACCTCACCCAACTTGTCAAAACATTTTACCTCACCCAACTTGTCAAAACATTTTTACCTCACCCAACTTGTCAAAATATTTTTCCTCACCCAACTTGTCAAAACATTTTACCTCACCCAACTTGTCAAAACATTTTTACCTCACCCAACTTGTCAAAACATTTTTATCTCACCTAACTTGTCAAAACATTTTTACCTCACCCAACTTGACAAAACATTTTTACCTCACCCAACTTGTCAAAACATTTTTATCTCACCTAACTTGTCAAAACATTTTTACCTCACCCAACTTGTCAAAACATTTTTACCTCACCCAACTTGTCAAAATATTTTTACCTCACCCAAATTGTCAAAATATTTTTACCTCACCCAACTTGGCAAAACATTTTTACCTCACCCAACTTGTCAAAACATTTTTACCTCACCAAACTTAGAAAAACATTTTTACCTCACCTAACTTGGCAAAACATTTTTACCTCACCCAACTTAGCAAAACATTTTGACCTCACCCAACTTGGCAAAACATTTTTACCTCACCCAACTTGTCAAAACATTTTTACCTCACCCAAATTGTCAAAACATTTTTACCTCACCCAACTTGGCAAAACATTTTTGTCTCACCTAACTTCTCAAAACATTTTTACCTCACCCAACTTGTCAAAACATTTTACCTCACCCAACTTGTCAAAACATTTTTACCTCACCCAACTTGTCAAAACATTTTTACCTCACCCAACTTGTCAAAACATTTTACCTCACTCAACTTGTCAAAACATTTTTACCTCACCCAACTTGTCAAAATATTTTTCCTCACCCAACTTGTCAAAACATTTTACCTCACCAAACTTGTCAAAACATTTTTACCTCACCCAACTTGTCAAAACATTTTTACCTCACCCAACTTGTCAAAACATTTTACCTCACCAAACTTGTCAAAACATTTTACCTCACCCAACTTGTCAAAACATTTTTACCTCACCCAACTTGTCAAAACGTTTTTACCTCACCCAACTTGTCAAAACATTTTTACCTCACCCAACTTGTCAAAACATTTTTACCTCACCCAACTTGTCAAAACATTTTTACCTCACCCAACTTGTCAAAACATTTTTACCTCACCCAACTTGTCAAAACATTTTTACCTCACCCAACTTGTCAAAACATTTTTACCTCACCCAACTTGTCAAAACATTTTTACCTCACCCAACTTGGCAAAACATTTTTACCTCACCCAACTTGTCAAAACATTTTACCTCACCAAACATATCAAACATTTTTACCTCACCCAACAAATCAAAACATTTTTACCTCACCCACATTGTCAAAATATTTTTCCTCACCCAACTTGTCAAAACATTTTACCTCACCAAACTTGTCAAAACATTTTTACCTCACCCAACTTGTCAAAACATTTTTATCTCACCTAACTTGTCAAAACATTTTTACCTCACCCAACTTGTCAAAACATTTTTACCTCACCCAACTTGTCAAAATATTTTTACCTCACCCAACTTGTCAAAACATTTTTACCTCACCCAACTTGTCAAAACATTTTTACCTCACCCAACTTGTCAAAACATTTTTACCTCACCAAACAGTCCATCGGGATGCTGTTGGGGTCGTTCCTGTACACCAGCGATATCACATCACGTGACAACAAGAGGACCCTAGGGGTCGCCATTGTCGAGGCCGCTAAAGGGGTCGTGAGTGCAGCCGTTTACGTGGTAGCCGGGCAGCTGATCGAGAAGGCGGGGTTTCTGGTCCCAGCTTTGGTGGCTACAGGGCTACAGGCTCTAGCGTAAGTGGTGTCTTTTAGCGTGAGTGGTGTCTTAGGTTTTAGCGTGAGTGGTGTCTTAGGTTTTAGCGTGAGTGGTGTCTTAGGTTTTAGCGTGAGTGGTGTCTTAGGTTTTAGCGTGAGTGGTGTCTTAGGTTTTACCGTGAGTGGTGTCTTAGGTTTTAGTGTGAGTGGTGTCTTAGGTTTTAGCGTGAGTGGTGTCTTAGGTTTTAGCGTGAGTTGTGTGTCAGGTGTGATGGTGTGCTAGGTGTGCTAGGTGTGGTGGTGTGTTAGGTTTTAGCGTGGTGGTGTAAGGTGTGATGGTGTGTTAGGTGTGGTGGTGTGCTAGGTTTTAGATTGATGGTGTGTTAGATGCTAGCGTGATGATTTGTTAGACGTCTATGAGTACCTGACTGAAGTTAGGAAACGTAAAGGCAGCTTGGCATAGTGCTGACCACACTACTCCTTTATATACCTACTCACAGGAATATGTGAACTACGTCAACTATCATATAGAACGCTTAGTTTGAAAGGATAGCTTTACAAAACAAAAATATCACTGATTCTCTGTCTACAGTTAAATAAAATTTAATTGGCGTCATAGACACATTTATTTTTAAATTTTAACATCGGCGGTTAATATATTTCCTTAACACGTATAATCGTTTTCTTCTAGTAAGCGATTAGACAATACGCCCACATTAGTGTTATAAACTATTCCAATCGTATTCTACACCATAGAGATGGTACCTCAGGCCGGGTCTACGACAAATTCCCGAAAGACACTTGCCCGAATGCCGTTTGCCCGAAGGCCGAATTCCCGAATGGACACTTGCCCGAATGCGACAAATGCCCGAATGGACACTTGCCCGAATGCGACAAATTCCCGAATGGACACTTGCCCGAATGCGACAAATGCCCGAATGGACACTTGCCCGAATGCGACAAATGCCCGAATGGACACTTGCCCGAATGCGACAAATGCCCGAATGCCACTTGCCCAAAGGCCGTTTGCCCGAAAAATGTTATCAATAAAATATTACCAAATAGTCATTCGTGATCAATTTAAATTTGAAATTTTGATAAACAATACATATATTAACAAAAATAAAGGGAAAATATTTAATATCATATATATTAACACGAAGATATTATTAATTAATTTGTATTTAAATAGAGATCAAACATAAAAGACTAACATTAGTTTTTTAATTCGCCTCCTAGGCCCCTCCCCATTCTTTTGTTGACTGATCACCTCACAAGTTAACAAGATAAATCAAACAAACGCGCCTCTGTTCAATGTTGCGAAACGCCGCGCCGCCTACACCGTGTCATAAACGCTATAAACCACCGCAACACGTCGGCTACACAAGGTGGTCAAAACTTACACATCAAAAGAATGTTAAGATACCGCCGCCGACATCACCTTACATTTATTGAAGAATAAAGAATTTTTTTTACGGCGATTTCTCATATTAAAAAAAAATAATAATAAAAGCTAAATTTTAAAAATATAAGCAAATTTGTTTTTATGCTTAAAACTGTGTTGATTATCAAAATTTCAAACTTGAATTGATTATGAATGTCTATTTGGTTATATAATTTTTTATTCAATATTTACATTTTTCGGGCAAACGGCCCTCGGGCAAGTGGCATTCGGGCATTTGTCGCATTCGGGCAAGTGTCCATTCGGGCATTTGTCGCATTCGGGCAAGTGTCCATTCGGGCATTTGTCGCATTCGGGCAAGTGTCCATTCGGGAATTCGGCCTTCGGGCAAACGGCATTCGGGCAAGTGTCTTTCGGGAAAACGTCCGGCTCCCCCTCAGGCCATACGACTATTCTACACTATAGAGTTGGTACCTCAGGCCATACGACTATTTGTTTTTTACTCCAGGATCATCCTCGTCTGTTTCCTACCAGACCGGAAGCCCAAAGACCTGGAGCAGCGGGCCACGTTCTGGTCGGTCTCCGGTGCCGTGCGGGAGATGCTGTCGCCGTTCCTGCTGCCAGAGAACCAGAGGCTGAGGCGGATGTCGCTCCTGGCAGCCTTGACCTTCTGCGTTCTCTTCATCGCCAGGACCGGCGTCGATAAGGTCAGGGTCAAGGTCGTTCGCTGTCATTCACGTGAGGTGTCAGTCACTGATGTAACTGTTGTCAATGCCGCTGACGTCATTTTTCTGGAAATGTATGACAAACGGACGTAATGACCGTTAATTGTCGTTACCAGAGGCGTAGCGAGGGGGAGGCGGGGGGTGCGGACCGCACCGGGGGACACCATTTAGGGGAGTGACACCAAGGCAAAAAATAGCAAAATATATAGAGAAAAACTTGAGGGGGGGGGGGTGCTAATCGAAAGTTTGAAAGTTTGTCCCCGGGAAGGGTCACTACGCCTCTGGGGGGTGACACCATTATGTGCCGCACCGGGTGACACCCGACCTCGCTACGCCACAGGTCGTTACTGACATAGCCAGAGACAAACAATCAAGTCATCACTGTCAACTGTCATTATTGTTAAGGTTAAAATATTACTGTTCATTATACAAGTCATTATACTGGGACTGATCATTATTCTGGGTATACATGTGGCATTTGTTGAGTATATATGACGACAAAATAGCGACGGGTAACAGTATACCTAAAAATGTCATGGCGGTATTTTTTCAATGTTAGATGTTACATCCAATAAAATCAATGACATATCACAAAATGTTGTATGTTACATCCAATAAAATCAAATGACGTCACAAAATATGATCTCTATCACCCCGTCTAGATCAGGAACCTGTACCTGATGAATCTGCCATTTTGTTTCGACGCTATCACCATTGGTTGGTTCATGTTCGCACGTGACGCCGGCCATTACGCATTCACGGTCTTCGCCGTCAGCTGTCTGTACCGGTGCTTGCCGGGATTCGGGCTGGGAATTCTGGGAACTCTCTCCAACATTGCGGCATTCCTCATGTACGCCTTTGCCCAGAACTACTGGCAGATTTACATAGGTACAAAATGCTTATTGGTTTGTATGAAGTGCTTGTATAAACAGTGTTTCTTTTAGGCATCTCTTCGGTGGAGGGTGGGGGTGGGGGTGGGGACGACGGTACCGCACCTCCCCACCCCGGCAAATATAGTCTCCACCCCCCCCCCCACCCCCCAAAAGTTTCAAGCCCCCCCCCCCCCCACCCCGGAGAAAAAAGTCTAAAAGAAACACTGCAAACACTGGATGTAGAGATTGAATACGGTGTTGTTATTATATAATGGTTTGGATACTGTGTAAATAATGGTTTGGATACTGTGTTTGTATATAATGGTTTGGATTCTGTGTTTGTATAAAGGGGTTTGGATCCAGTGTTTCTATATATTGGTTTGGATACTGTGTTTGTATAACATATTTGTATCTGTAGTCCAGGTTACAGAATGTATTTCAACCAGCCATTGGTTCTCACACGTATTTCAACCAGCCATTGGTTCTCACACTGTCCTCTACTTGCTGACGTAGACGGGCGGTAGAGCGCTTGACTGTCAAGCCGATAGTCTCCAGTTCAAATTCCTGAATGCGCGTGACCACCCAGCTCTGATGTGTGGTGCCTGACTCACGTTAGGGAAAGTAAAGGCGGCTGGGCATAGCACTGACCACACCACTCCGAGGTCAAGAAACATATGAGCTTGACTACATCCGCCCTTAAAACCGGCAGGTCCTACATATTAGTTAACTTGTAGCTTAGCCTCTCATATTTAAAAAACTACATCAATATAAATAAAGTGAATGTTTTGTTGTCAAAAGTTTGTCCTATATCTCGTAGCGCCCGTCCTTGGCTTTGGAGAGACGCTGACCTTCACCGTGATCAGAGGTGAAGGGTCACGTTTGCTGGGACCCGAGTATCAAGGTAACCCATTACTTTACTTATGTAGGGAAACAGTTATCAATTCTTATCTCGAAGAAGTATTTTGACATGTTAATGTCGTTTAAAAAATTATGTGTTCATATACTATTTTTAAAAAATTTTTTTCCAGCGTCGTGGTTTGCCTCCCTTGCAGTGTTGGAGAGCATTAGCCTAGCGATTAGCGCCCCTGTTTTCATCCCCATCTACACGGCCACACTGGGCGGTTTTACTGGCAGCGTCTATGTGGGTTGTGCTGGTGTTCTGCTGGTGGTGCTGCTGATGAAGTGGTACGTGTCAGCTGTCACTTTTTGTTGTGATATTTTGTTGTGGCATTTAATTGTCAAATTTAGTTGTCATATTTTGTTGTGACATTTTGTAGTGACATTTAGTAGTGATATTCTGTTGTCACATTCTGTTGTCACATGTTGTTGTCAAATCTTGTTGTGTCATTTTGTTGTGACTTTTTGCTGTCAAATTTTGTTGTCATATGTTGTTGTCACATTTTAAGTTCTTTTGGCGAGAAGTCTAACGTTTAACGAATTTAAAAATGTAATATTTTTAAGTTGATGAGTTCCTTCCTGGTGAGTTCGTGTGGAGGGGTGGGCAGGGGGTATCAGGTTCTACCAGTGCTTATTTTAAGACATTGTTCTCCGTGGGGGGGGGGGGGGGGCGGACACTGTCAAAGTATTGATTTTGTATATCAACATCTAGTTCGTACGGGGCGGTAACCTCAGAGGAGATCAGTGAAAGAAACTCTGGGTTAGACACCATGAGTTCCCGAAGTTTCTCTTTAAAAATTAAAATATACCTATAAAAACGTCCCACATCTGCCTAATGTTTTGTTTCTTGTCGAAATAATGACGTCATGGGACTTGTTTGAATGTTTCACGAAAGTTGAGAAAAATTAGGAAACCGCTGAATCATGTTCTCAAATGTACTCTTTAACTCCCCCCTCCCACATTTCAACAGACATTATATTAACGGTAGCAGTCCCTTACTGTATTTACTGTATTACTCTGATCTTGTCCCATCCAGCATCTATCAGGTGATGTGGGTCAGACACATGACAGACGTGCTGTCAGACAGCCTGGAGATTGGCGCAGACGACAGTCAGACGTCAGACCAGAAGAAACTTCTCCCAGAATCTAAGGACCAGTTTACCAGCTCATCAGCATATGTCACACATCTTTGATGTCATCTGATGTCACGCATCTTTGATGCCATCTATCTCTGATGTCACACCTCTTGGATGTCATTTGTGTCTGACGTCGCACATCTTTGATGTCATTTATCTTTGATGTCGTTCATCTTTGATGTAACTCATTGAAATCTCTTTAACACACATCTCACATCTTTGATGTCACACATCTCTTGTGATACACATCTTTGATATAACTCATCTTTGATGTTACACATCTCAATCCCATCAACGTTTGCCACTCAACTCTGATGTCAGACATCTTTAATGGCACACCCTGATGTCAGACATCTTTAATGGCACACCCTGATGATACACTTTTTGTGTCACTCAAGGTGACATCCTTACATTGTGTAGATGAAGTAGAGTTCAGTTGTTTTTTTTTTACCTCGGCGTATGAAGAGATGATGTGAGCTAGGTACCCATCAGAGCTTGGTGGACAAGGACGTTGAACTGATTTGAACCCAAATTCGAACTGTTACTTTCGGGTTAGCAGTCTAGCGCTCTACCGCTAGGCCACGCCATTTGCTACATATTACGGGTCAATGACACGTTAGCAGTACAAAATGTGATACATAATGTGATACATAATGTGATACATAATGTGATACATAATGTGATACATAATGTGATACATAATGTGATACATAATGTGATACATATTGTGATACATAATGTGATACATAATGTGATACATATTACTCGTTAAAAATAATTTAAATCATCGCCGGTGATATACAAGTGATTATAATACTTATCAGATGTCTTTTAATTAAATAAAGAAACTGTTTTAATAAAACCGGAATATTTCATTAATCAAACTACTTACACGGTATTCAGATTGTATTACATCATACATACGACTATGTTATCATCAGATTGTATTGTATCATACATACGACTATGTTATTGTATCATACATACGACTATGTCGTATGACCTCGGTATGCGGCATTGATCTACTATGGTCTACAAAATGGCTAATCGGTGTGACGTCATGGCGTGTGACGCTTACACCTCGTGACTCTGACCGTTGTTATAATGATATTATGTGTGATATTATGTGTGATATTATGTGTGATATTATGTGTGATATTATGTATATTATGTGTGTTGTTATGTCGGTGTATACAATAGGCGAGAGCCTTGCATAAGTGTAACACATTATTGTGATCCATGATTAAGTTGTAATAATTAGTAATTAGTAATTAAGTTGTATAATTATTTTTATTTTTAATTATGATCCATTACTGTATTTTATAATTATTACAGCGGATTGCCTTTGATATTGTATGACTTTTACATTAAAAGCAGAAAATATATTGTATTGTTACGTATTTTATATTAAATACTATTGAAAATCGGCAAATATGTATGACGTATGTGAAATAAAACTGAATGATATAGTTGGTGGAGTAGAGTTTGCCTGTGATTTAAACCAGGCAAGTGGTTACAAGAAACTGTACAGTTTCGATACACGAGTATAAACAGTAAACAGTTACAAGAAACTATACAGTTTAGATACACAAGTATAAACAGTAAACAGTTACAAGAAACTATACAGTTTAGATACACGAGTATAAATAGTAAACAGTTACAAGAAACTATACAGTTTAGATACACGAGTATAAACAGTTAACAGTTACAAGAAACTATACAGTTTAGATACACGAGTATAAATAGTAAACAGTTTCCGTCATTCAAACTTGGCTTGTTGTTATGATGCATGTTTGACTAGGGCAATGGGTGCGCATGATTGATGGTGCGGCCGTATATTGAACGAGTGAGTGTGTGACGCGGTACGCAAGAAAGTGACGTTTTAGGGTGAGTTCGTTGTTGCCAGGGAAGAAGATTGAAGTTAGTCTTGTCCGTGTTATGTTAGAGTTAGGTTGTCTAGTTGTAGTATCGTTTGTCCAAGCTGTCAGATGTCCATTTCTTATTGTGCAATAAATAGAGTTAGTAACCGATGCCATTCTGTCAAATCCTTCGTAAGCGTTGATGTCGTCGTGTCTCAAGATATACTGTAGCATAGCTAAACATAATCAAATGGTAGTGATATGGAAAGATGGTATTGGATCGGGTAGTTGTACCCTCTCACTGCATAACTGTGGTACACATATAGAACACAGCAGTTATAACATGGTGGAGCAGTATTAACGTGAAACAGCTATAGTAATACGAAGCAGCTATAACAGAATGAAGACAACTCAAGCAGTATAACAGCATGAAGTAGTATTGCAAGGCGAAGTAACTTAAAAGCACTTAGAAGCTAGTCGGCGGAAATAACATCTAGAACCTAGTCAGAAAACGCTATCAGTGTCTAATCAGTCAAGTTTCATCGACATAATTTTCTGACGGACTATGTCTCAGTGATGTATGAACTGTTATTGTGAAAACCGTGTGTGAAGATCCCAGCGTGAAAACCCATGTTGAAGACATACGTATAAAGACCAGTTCTAAGAAGACCCGTGCTCTGATGTCCCATGCCGTTATGACCCGTGCTGTGAGGACCCGTGCCATGAAGAACCGTGTGGGGAGAACATGTGATGACCGTGATGTGAGGACCCTGACGTTAAGACCATGCTGGGAGGATCTGTGTTGTGAAGGACAAGGGGATCTGTGTGGGAAGTGTGTGTTGTGCGATGAAGCCGACGATGATGCCCAAGTTCTACAAATTAGATAAGTAGTACCTCTTCATATATTTTTTAAGTAGTAGGCATGTACATTTTTTTTCTATTACGTCTTAGTGAAAAAAAAAATATAGTGATTAAGCAGGGGCTGTAGGTATTGTGAGCCCATTGCGGTGTTATGCTAATGAGGGTTGTTGTATGATAAGTAAGAGATCAGTATAGTGATAATTGATATTGTTATAGTTAATGTAGACCCGCCGGTTTGAGGGCGGTGTTATATTGTTGACAAGATGATGTCACTATGATCTTGATTTGATTTGTTATAATGATATGATTTTCAATTTATGATATGTGATGATATGTTATCCTATGAGGTTTGTTTTCTTAGCGTAAGGAACCCAGTAGATTAGGATAATGTTGTTTAATGATAATTTGGTGTCGTCACCCGGCCAGCAGGGGGATAGTTCGTTGGTCGGTTGCTTCATCGGTAGTTAGTTGATTTCAAGACTGAGGATGCAGTCAGATTTTTTTTTGTGTGGGTAGCTCGAGGATGTACCGAGTACCTAGACATGGATTTAAGGGTTCTAGGGAAAATATTCCTCTATGTGATATCGTATTTGGTTACTGAAGATGTGAAGAATTATTATTGGTATATGTTATTGTGACATGAGATGAATATATGCAGGTGATATAGTGATTATGAAATTTGATGTGGTTACTTAATTACTTAGTACTAAATTAACGCGTAAGATGTGATTTATTATATAAATAATGTAGCGTAGTTAACAGAAGAGGTACTACATTAGATTAAGTCTAATACATTAGGTTAGAGAGACTATGTTAGATAATGACAACCGAGTAGTAGTGACATGTTGTTTTCCGTTAGAAATAATTTCTTTTCAGTACAACTGAGGTGATGTTTGGGTCGACATTGTATGGAATCCTGGCCTTTACGTGAAGTGTGATTGTAGGATGTGTACCCAACTGGTGATCTGAGATGTATACTTTGCAGAATCGTCAAAATATGTTTGTGCGCGCGGAGACATGAACTGAACTGGAACTTCAAGAATTAGTTAAAATTGTTTAGCCTTTAAGGTCTATGTGTGAAAGCTACCATAGTTGCTATTGTTAGGTAAAACAGAATGTTGTATTATTGAAGTAATAAATAAAGCTAATGTGATTAGCTTAAAGGGAGAGGGGGGTAATGTTATGATGCATGTTTGACTAGGGCAATGGGTGCGCATGATTGATGGTGCGGCCGTATATTGAACGAGTGAGTGTGTGACGCGGTACGCAAGAAAGTGACGTTTTAGGGTGAGTTCGTTGTTGCCAGGGAAGAAGATTGAAGTTAGTCTTGTCCGTGTTATGTTAGAGTTAGGTTGTCTAGTTGTAGTATCGTTTGTCCAAGCTGTCAGATGTCCATTTCTTATTGTGCAATAAATAGAGTTAGTAACCGATGCCATTCTGTCAAATCCTTCGTAAGCGTTGATGTCGTCGTGTCTCAAGATATACTGTAGCATAGCTAAACATAATCAAATGGTAGTGATATGGAAAGATGGTATTGGATCGGGTAGTTGTACCCTCTCACTGCATAACTGTGGTACACATATAGAACACAGCAGTTATAACACTTGTGACTAGCTCTTATCGTGGTAATAAAGAATGTGTAATCAGGCTGAGAGAGAGAACTACACACTAAAGCAGTGATTCGGTTTGTTTCTCTTCGTTACTGCTGGGTTTGACTTAACAAACTTTATATTTGTAACCATTTATTTTAAATTGTATTACAGCAATGTTGTTATTCACATTTTAATTCGCTTACTGACACATATAGTCTTTCCAAATATACTCTTCGGGAGGTCAGCTTTTTAACATCCACATCATCACCAAGACACATGGGGCAGATGAAGTAGAGTTCATATGTTGTAATGACCATGGCATACATGGGATAATATGGTCAGCATTATGCTCAGCCGCCTTAGTTTCTTTAAAGTGAGTCAGGTACCCATCAGAGCTGGGTGTGCTCAGGGACGTCCTACATATTCCAGGCAGGGATAACTCGAGACTTTTAGCTTAAACTCTGAGTGGTTAAAATCATAAATAACCTGATTTCTAATTCGCACTGGAACACATTTTTTCAAAGAATATTTTTAAATCACATAGAAACACATTTAATCAAAGAATATTTTAAAATCACATAGGAATACATTTTATCAAAGAATATTTTTAAATGTGAATGTTTTGTTCTTTTTTTACTTCCCGATTTACGATGAAACAAGCATGTTTTTACTCACCCCCTCCCTCAACAGTTTAATTGGTGTATACCCGGGGTACTCGAGCCCCAGGGTGAGACCCGCCACCCGAATGCCGTGTTCAACACGGAGAGACAGGTGTTATCTCAGTCAGGTCCAGTAAATTCTCGAGCAAGTTGCCGAGTCACGCGGGTGTTGATGTATGGAGGTAAGT